TGGCCTGGATCAAGACCGGAGTGAAGGCCTCCGAACTGCAGCCTACTGAGCTGAAGGCTTTGACCTTGGCTGGCAACGATGTCTTGATTGGCAAGACCGAGGCTGGTGCTCTCTTCTGCGTTGGCAACTTGTGCCCTCACATTGGCACTCCCATGAGTGAGGGTGCGGATGTCATTGGTGATGTGATTGTGTGCCCTCTGCATGGCTCCTCCTTCAAGGTGACCACTGGTGAGCTCATCGACTGGTGTGTCTCCCCACCCATCATTGGCCCTCTCACCGGTTTGATCGTTGACAAGAAGAACCTCTTGATCTTTGAGTGCCGCCAGGGTGGCTTCTTGGGCTCCGGTGAAGTGGAGGTGCTTGTGGACACCAATGCCAAGAAGGCCTACGAGGCGGGCTACTGGAAGGGCTTGCTGGATGCCCAGGGCAAGGATGATGGCACTTACTATTGAGTCCTAGAAGATTTGAGCAAGGCTAGTTCAATGTGGAGGGTGCTGACTTTTTGTCTGAGAGCTTCTTGAGTGTTGCAGCCTCAAGGAAGAAAAGATTACGACACCGTGGTTCGAGTGTGCGGATTGAACCAATCATTGTGCAGTAATATAGAGTAGTGGTGAAGTTCCTTAAAGTGATCAGGGAGTACTTCCGTGAGGGTCCATACTATTTAGACTTGATACTTGATGCTAGCAATCGGCTTAATCAAATCAAAAGGATGCATAGCTCCAGACTCTAGATACTCCACCAGACGATTTCATCCAGACGCTTCATGAAGTGTCTTCCTACTGAGCCCTTCCAGGGTCAAATCCTTCGCCGTCGCCACGGTCAAACCGTCCGTCCCTCTCCGTCGGTGCTTTCACCCCATCGACTGGGTGGATATCCTTCGACCGCGGGCAACGTGTTTGGGCTGAGAGCCAGCGATTGCTGACCGGGGTAGCAGCTCTGGCCGTTTCGGACCACGATGGACGCTCGGGCCTCGGCTGAGGGCTGGAGTGAGGTTCTGGATGTGGTGAACTTGAGCTGGCTGACATGGCTGACCAACTGGTGAATGATGGCAGATCACTTTGCATAGGATTTTAATGGATTTTACTTGAAGGGATCGAATATCGATTCTATCCACTAGAAATCCGACCATCCATGTCAAGAAAGTGTTGGCCTGGTAGAGGCAATGTGTTTGTTGTTGTCACTTAGAAACGATAAGAGAGAGAGAGAGAGAGAGCCTTTCTCCTTGATTGGAATGACCTCAGGTGGCTTTCGTCGCACCCGTGGTCAATGCAGTGCCGGCCCAAGTGCGGTAGTGACGAAGCGAAAGGAGTGAGGAGGCCGCGAGCCAACAGCCATTTTTGGGGCATTGAACAACATCGACAACATGCTCGGCACTTGAAGCGGGGACCGACAGCTTTTCGAGAAGGTTCTTGCAATCATTCCAGACCATGGGAACTCATCCGATTCAAGAGAACAGCCTTGTTGACTGGCAGCATTCAAGGTGTTTATTAGATAGTTTGCTTGGTTGATCAAACGTCTGTGGGTGCTCTATCGCGGCCTGGTGCTCGTGGCGCTCAGGCAACCCAGGCCCCTGTGCAGAGCCCTTTGGCCACGCCAGGCGCAGACTGTCGGTTTCTGGTGGATTGGGTTCAGCTCCAAGACCAAACTACTCTTTCTGGTTGTTTCTGGGATCGTCCAACCCCGTTCTGCTCCGAACCTCAATTGGGTTGAACGGCGTTTGGTTCGCGCTGATGTCGTCGCACGTGTTGCGATCTTTTTGGAGGCGCCGAAGCCGTCTCCCCCACGTGGGTGCGAACGTCCGTGGCGCGCTTCTTGCGGCGGCGCGAAGCGGGGAGGAGGTTCACCATGTCGCTGACACTTACAGGTGGGGGCAAACACTTCTGATTGATGGGATATGGTAGGAGAGGTGTATTGAACACTTGTTTGTCAACCCTTTGTTGGTTGGTGTCATGGGAATCTCCATGGGTTTGTTTTTCATTGGGGCTACTCTTGAGTGATGTAGGATTTGCTCCTCAAGTCCAGCCGCTGTCCAGCCACCAGGAGCCCCCGCGCAGCCTAATGGTAGCTTCAGCACCAAGGCCATGAGAAGGGAGCTGCACTCCGACGAACACGTCACATGGTTTCGTGGATGGCGCCCCCCTGTTTGTAAAGCAAAGTACTCTTCTAAGGGTCCATGCCATCCACTTCCATGAGATGTGTTCGTCGGAGTGTACACGTAAAAACGAGATGAGACATGCCGAGCGAGCTGAGACATGCCGTTCCCCCCCCAATTTGGAGCGATTTGCACGTCGTGCGTCGCGGTCGTATCACGATCAGTGAGTCGTTCGTTTTGGGCGTCACTGTGGGGGGGGGGGTTCACATCCTGCAGTGCTCGGTGAAGGAATCTCCTGCAAGCGAAGTGGAAGAAAAATCACTCCGGACCCCATTCCCATCTTTTGTGAGTTTGTGAACGCGTTAGAACAGGTGAAGCGAAGCAGCTAGTTTGTGAACGCGTTCCATCGGTGGCCTCAAACTTTGGAATTCCTTCCCAACCAAAAGAGATCACTCTCTCCCTCCTGTGCTTTGGACAATCTTCATCTGGAAATCACATGAACAGAAGTTCTCCATGTTCACCTGAAAAACAGGGGCTCTTTTTTTTTGCCCTCCGTCCTCAGCTTTCCTTCACAGGCGGCCATGGCCCTGGGCGCCCTGGCAGCCTGCAGCCTAGCCACCAAGCGCACCGCACGCCGGGCCCAGGCGTGACGGTCTTCGGTCCAGCGTACCGTGGGTGGTCGAGCATAGTAGCTAGAAGCTACTAGGAACAAGTGCATCGCTACTAGTAGCAAACTCATCGCTACTAGTAACTAGTAGTAGTAGTAGTAGTAGTAGTAGTAGTAGTAGCAGGAGTAGTAGTAGTAGTAGTAGTAGTAGTAGTAGCTACTAAGGTTTGTTTTTCTTTTTTCGTTCTTCTTCGATCCATTTAGGTCATGGCAGGTTGGAAGCGGCGAACAGTGGGCGACATGGTTAGCGACATGCCTTCCGCCCAAAGTCTCAAAGAAGCACATTGGTCTTTGTTTTCAGCTTAGGAAGTTCGAGGGTGAGGAATTTCTGAAAAATGTAGGGTTTTGCTGGACCCCGGTGGAGAAGAGAGAGTCTGACGGGTTGAAAGCGGGGATTTTTTGCTACACACCTTGGGAGGAGATGGCTACTTTGCCGAAGCACATGCAGCCAGTTGACCCTGCGTGAAGAGCTTAGGCGAAAGTAGGCATAGTGTCTGGAGAAGCCTTTGGTTGCTGCAGAAAACGCAGAGCTTTGGGTTCTGGAAAGGAACATTCTTTGGGATAGCTTATCACGAGAAACGGACACTGCAGAGATCGAATCCTGATCCTCTGGACTCTGGATTGTTCGGCCAAGGAGCTACCCGAACTACAAGCCGGGCCCATCTGGTGTGCCCATGATGCCCCAAGTGGTGGGCGATTGGGCCACGCCTGTGCCAGGAAGCTACAAGGCCTGCTTGACTATGGTGGGACCTGACGTGGAAACTGGCAGCGAGGTGGGCAAGCCGTGGGATCCTCTTGGCTTCAGCAAGCTCTACGACCGCAACTTTGACTTCAATGACAACATGACCTACCCACATGTGCAGTGGCTACGAGAAGCTGAGCTGAAGCACGGCAGATGCGCAATGCTGGCAATTGTCGGCATTTTTTGCGCAGCAATCTTTCCACATCGATGGATACCCAGAGGCACCCTGGTATGAGGCCTTGCAGAAGTGCTATGACAATCCCCAGGGCATTGTGGGCTTCGGCATTGCGCAGATCTCTGCCTTTGCCATGGTCATTGAGGGCAAGTACTTCCCCAATGATGCCTGGATCGGCCAGATGGACCGCGAGCCTGGTGATCTTGGCTTCGATCCTCTGAAGCTTGCCAAGGATGAGGCGACCATGAAGAGCATGCAGCTCAAGGAGTTGAAGAACGGCCGACTGGCCATGATGGCCTTCTTGTCCATGTTCCTTGGCCACTTCAACGCTGGCAGCGTGCCGGGAGTCTCCGCTTTGCCGCGTGAGTCTGCCCCAGCACAGGGTGCCACCTTTTGCGGTGCGACTCCTGCCAGCTCTTCCGAGGCTGGAATGTCCAAGACTGCTGCTCGATACACCACTCAGACCATCCTGCCTTCCCTGGCCTGGATCAAGACCGGAGTGAAGGCCTCCGAACTGCAGCCTACT